GAGAGAGACAGACAGACAGACAGACAGACAGACAGACAGACAGACAGACAGACAGACAGACAGACACCCTGACAGATACAGAAACAGAGAATAAGAAAACATAGAGAGAAAGAGAAAAAAAAAAGGGGGGGGGGGAGATACAAGTATTTATGCACACTCGTGCACACAGTAATGCAATTCAATATTTGAAAAAGGAATTTTTTTGAGTGTCTATTCATTCAAATGGGGTTATTGCTTGACGTGTTTTTTTCCTGTTATGGATCACCTAACAAACAATGCATCTACTTCAAATACTACACAATGTGTCTTAGTTGGTTACAAACCTGACCCCCATGTTAAGTTCCTCAATCTTCTTGATCATGGATCCTCAAGGAAACAGAGCGATTTTCTTTTTAAACAACTGATTTGTTTGAAAGTACATTCAACGTACCCCTAAAACGGTCATAAATATCGTAGCTGTAACTGTAACGTATAGTTGCCTCAGAAATACAAAGTTATATCTTCCCAGTGCCTAGTTTTGAGAAATGTAACGTAACAAAATTTTAAGTTTCATAATATTTCAAGCTTTTTAGAAGACAGTCCTTTGAATGTCTTGGTCTTGATAACGACTAAGAAGAAGCTTACGGTTTTGATAGAGCAGACAGCATTTTGATTTCTGACCTCGTGGTCTTAGTAATTTAATATGGCCAAATATGTCAGATAGAACTTTGTAATTATGTGGTAGCGGTGTCTCGGGTCAAAGGTGGGGGCGCGCCGGCCCTAACGGAAAGGTATAGGAGGCCCTATATTATTATAAAAGGAGTAGCTGTAACAACGGTATTGTAGAAATACTAACACGGTTATGCTTGTGAGGGGGGATAATAACATGTTCCAATGCACAGTAGAATGGTAAATGGGTTGATTTATCTATGTCATACTCATACTGTGCCGAACAACATAGGGGGAACTGCTGCCTTTTCTTTCCTCATCCTAAATATCGTCATTTTTTCCTCTACTTCTTTTGTATGTTAGTCACTCTCTTATGAACTTCTATTTCCGGGGTGACTTGATAGTCCAAGTAGACTTTGTGCTGTTGAGGCTAGAGAAGTGAGCAGAGTAAGACCGTTTGGACATCTCTTTTGACATCCACCCCTTGGCGCTCATATGACCTTACGCAGTTGCGAGCGCCTTAAAACCTCAGTAAAACAAACTATAACAAGCACTGTTGTGTCGTGCTTGGAAATCGCAGATATCATATGAGTATTACGAGGAGTCCACGGGATAAACGGGAATAGTCACAAACTGAAAATCGTGAGGGTATCAATTTTGAACGCCTTTTTTGTTGACTCATATTCTGTTCAACTGTAGGTTGATTATTATTGTTAGATTTCCCATTCAACAGACATAACCAGAAACCACCCATTAAATAGATATGAAGTTATGAGCCCACACACCCTCACAACTTCCCGTTTGTGACTATACCCGTTTTTTTGTCGTGGACTCCTCATACGTAACAACTTATTTCTTGTTCACATTCGTCTATCCGCGCGAAAATAATTTCATCTCATTTAATAATCTGCCAATGGGCACGTAAATTGGCATTGGCATTCATTAGAATAACATTGAGTTACAATCAGAATACTGAGTATGTATCTAGTTGAACATCATTATTGTTTATATTACTGTTCATTTATATTATGCACGAGACTGTAAGCCTGCGTGTTAGTTCATTTGTGTGTGTGTATGTGTGTGTGTGTGTGTGTGTGTGTGTGTGTGTGTGTGTGTGTGTGTGTGTGTGTGTGTGTGTGTGTTTGTGTGTACGTGCTGAAACACCAAACCAATGTGCCAGGATCTGGTCCATAAAGATGTATCTTATATATCTTATATTATCTTATCTTTCCATGGGTTTCGAACAAATAATTGTATTTTAATCTTTCTTAAAAATTGGTCCAGTGACCAGGTTTCCTGTGCCGTATATTGAACACAGCCCTTAAGGTGCACACACACGACTGGTAGGCCTGCAATAAATGATAACAGTATCCTAGCCTACAAATTGGTCATTTAAAGACAATAATGAGCTACATACGAGCGAGATTTAAGAAGTCTTTTTATCTAAATATGAATGAATAAAGATATATCTGTGTAACTTGGCACATATACTTTTATTTCTCTACATAGTCCCCATGCATTGTAAGATATTTCTGCCATCTCTCAAAAGTCTTTGAGAAAGAAATGACCAAAATAGGTCCCTAACCAGTCTTCAAACGCTTCAATGGCGTCCTCGTTTTCATAGAAACGACGTCCTCGGAAGTCTGAGGGGGCTAGGTCTGGTAAATAAGCTGGGTGTGGCAGGATTTCAAAGCTGCGCTGTTCTGCTGTCTGGATTGCTTGCTGTGCCTGTGCAGTAGGAGGACCCCATTACGGAGTTTCCCACTCCTTTTTCCTCTCCAATTCGGACTGCAATTTTATCAGCAAATCCGAATAGTAATTTCCTGTGACTGTCTTTCCATTTTCCAGGTAGTCAGTCATCATGATACCTTCACAATCCCAGAAACACGACAGCATGACCTTTCCTCTTAACGGTGTTACTTTTGTCTTCTTTGGTGAGGGAGAAGAAGGGGTTTTTCATTGCATGAGGCCATTTTTTTCTGAATCAAAATGATAAATCCATGTTTCATCAACAGTCACCATGTTTTTAAAGAGATTTGTGTCATTGGACGCAATTCGAAGGAGAGTTTTGCAGGACTCAGCCTTAATTCTGCTTCTTTTGCTCACTTGTCGAAAGGCTGGGTCCCACCGCGCTGACATCTTATTCATGTTAAGATGGTCATAGAGAATCGTTTCAATTGACCCATCACTGATTCTCTTTTCCCTTGAGAGTTATTTAACAGTTATACGTCGGTCTAGTAGAACCAGTTTCTTCACTCTGGATACATTCTCTTCAGTCACAACAAACGATGAGTGACCTGCACGATATTCATTTATAACCGACATAAATCCAGATTGAATTTTCTTACTCAGTGTGTCAGAGTATTATAGCGAGGACATTTGTCACCATAAACTTGGACCACGTCCTGATAATGTCCAAAGGGGATTTTCCTTGCAAGTGTAAAAACCTGACTCACTGGGCTAAATTCAACAGGCTTCATGGCACAGCTTTAGCAAAGAAAACGTCTTAGTGCATGGTTTCACTGAACACGCTGACTATTGCCATATTATTGTCGGATTTTTCTGAAAATTTGCATGGTGTGTTCTAAAGCAATCGTCTAAAGGCTAACAAAATCCCATTACTTACCCAAGATTTCTTCATTCCCAGACCAGAGTCGTATTGAACACCCCTAGTATTAAATAATGAAATCAGTCTTTACACTTTTCACAGGAGTCCTGCCATCACCAACGGAACACCATCAGCACGTAGGGCCTACTGCGGTACATCTTACTTTACTTTTTACTTTTTCATCCTCTGTTGCCGTTAAGCGTTGAGGGGAGATGCAGTTTTCTATGGTAGGCCAGCTCCGCAGCTCTTTCAGTTGTGATGTTATGTTTTCTTAGGGTTTCCTTGTGACCCTCGATCCACCTTTTGCGTGGCCTTCCTCTTCCTTTATAGCCTGAGTGCTTGGTGTTGTAGGCTCTCAAGGCTGGTTGGTCTGGTGACATGCGTAACAGATGGCCTAGCCATTTTATCCTCTGTCTTTCTATGTAACGCAGGCAGGACTCAGTGCCGATAGCTGCTCTTACTTCTTCATTTCTCTGCCTGTCTCGTCTTGTGATGTTAAGGGTTTTGCGGAGACATTTCATTTCTCATGCAGTGATTTTGCTTTCATGGGTTTTGCTTAAGGTCCAGGTCTGGCACTGATAACATAATATTGGTATGAATATTGAGGTGATAAGCTGTCTCTTTGTGTCCATGGAGATGTTTGGATGAGATAGAAGAGGTGCGAGCTGGTAGGTGACAGCGTTGGCTTTTTGAGTTCGCATTTCTGTTTCTCTGTCTATGGACCCGTTTTCAGAAAAAGTGCTGACAAGATATTTAAACTCTTTCACCTGTTTCAGTTGTTTACTATTGACATGGATGTTCAGGGGACTATGGTTTCGGCTCAATTTCATAACTTCTGTTTTTGATGTGCTTATTTTCCTGTTGAATTTCTCACAGGTGTTGTTGAGTTCGTTAGTGTGATTTTGGAGGCTTAGTTGGTCATGATGAATTAGACATTGGTAGTCTGCGAACAGAAATTCCTTTAGGCTTTCTGGGCTTTGGTTTGCTTCTTGCGTTATCGTGTCCATATATATTATAAACAGGAGGGGAGATAGAACGCATCCCTGTCGTACTCCAGATCTTACTTTGAACCAGTCTGTATTTCCTTCCTTCGTTCTTACTGAGCTTCTGCTGTTGGTATATAGAGCTCTGACATTATCTAACAATTGTCCTCTGACGCCATACTTTTCGAGTGTCTTCCAGAGTTTTGCATGGTTTACTCTGTCAAAAGCCTTCTCTTGGTCTATAAAGACGATGTTAGATTCTTTGTTGTGTTCTGTTGTTTTCTAGCATATCTGTCGTAATGCGAATACGGCATCCGTGCATCCTCTTCCCTTTCGGAATCCACATTGAGCTTTGCTCAGATTTCTCTCTACAATAGATCTTATGCGCTGCTCTAGTATCTTTGCATACATTTTTCCTGAATGGCGTTACATCATGAGGTTTTATTCAGCTTTGTGTTTTGGTAGCTGATAGTCCGTGAGATGGTCGTTCAGTCTATTTTGCGGGGTCTTATAATGGTGTAATCTTGCTAGAAAATTTCATTTAAGATCAGGTTCATTTGATGTTGAAGCTTGAGTGTGTTCTTCAGGGGTATCTTCCCTTTTTTCCAGTTCAGTAATTGTCTCTGGCTCGACAGGATTTGGTAAATCTTAGCTCTGTAGTACAAGACATTGGGAAGATGAAATATCATGATATGAACTTTACTATATCCGAGAACTGCAATGGCTAAGGCTAGTTTTAATAAAATGAGCCCAATCCTGAA